GAAAATCCCCCAACAATAATTGATTTTTACTTCATAGCGATAGATGAACATCGTCCTCTTCAATAGAGTAATGAATAGTGAGCAATGAATTATTGCTCATTTCTTTAACACAACTTTTTAAAAAACAAGCTATACAGTATTGTCAACATTATTTTAATAATTTGATTTTTTTTTATGTTTTTCCGTACATGAATTGCCTTTAGAAGAATAAAAATTGAGTAGGAGAGTACAGTATAGTATAGTATAGTATAGTATAGTATAGTATAGTATAGTATAGTATAGTATATATAAGTATAGTATAGTNCGAAAATTTTTAAAGTATACAATACAAGGAAAATTGCTTAAATAATTTGATATATTTTTTCTGTACATATTTATTACAGCATGAATTATACATTATTGACCTTTTTATAATTATAATTTGATTTTTTTTCTGCATGTGAAAACAAAATATCGGCTTCTATAGAGTAATGAACTGTAAGAATTGAATAATGAATTTATTTATTTCTGCGTGGAACTTTAATTACAACATAAACTAGATAGCAGTATATGCTATACAACTATAATTTTATTTTTTCCCTTAAGTTCTCGATGACATTTTCTTGAAAATAAATCAGAATTTAAAAGATTCCGGTACATGTTCAAAGAAACGTGTACATGATCCGATAATGCACTCCTTATTGTTAGTAAAACACAATTTTTTTCAGGGAAATAAAAGTAAAGTTTAGATAGCAAATAAGGTATTTATTGAAATTAAAAATATAGTGAATCAATGTCGTGTTGCTTCAGAGCCTTAATACAGACAATAGGGGGGGGGGGGGGGGNGGGGGGGGGGGAGTCAACTATGTGTTAAAAGAAAAAAAAATTATAAAACATGTTTATAAAATAATTAATTCTTCTTTTTTCCTTATCTCACTATTTTTACTAAAAATATATGATTATTCGATTATTTAATTATTTGATTATTTATTAATATCAATTTTAACAACAGTTTTTGTAAATAACGCAAATTTTATTTCGTATTATAACTCAAGTGCTAATTCACGCTAACAAAAATTTTAACTGATATTATAAAACAGATTTCCATACAAACTATAATCCGAAAATTCAACTGAACAAATTATTCAATTTCATAATAAATTATTTATTTCATCTAAAAAAGATAGGAATAAACATTACTATTAAAACATTAGTAATAGTAGTTCATAACACAATACTATCAATAATATTACTAACACTATTTAAACTGAAATTCAAAAAAAGTCATTACTAACACCTTTTTATGGAAGACAATGATAAATATAATAAGAACATATGAATGAAATTATATTGTAATATGTCAAAACATATATGGTTATATATCATTGAAATATATTAGTATTGAATAGCGGGTAATGATTTATTTTTTTATTGCAATTTGCATTGCAATCTAAACTACTCTTATTAATATATTACGAACTACTGTTAGTAGGATACAAATTTTAAAATTGTTTTAGAAATTTCAAAGTGGTGAAAAAAAATTCTCATAAAATTACCGTACTTGTTTAATAATCAATAATCACATTTAAGATTGCTTTTTTTTTTTTTGAAAAAAAGGAGAGAAAAAAACATAATTCTGTTACTATACCAAAATATATTGTATTTAAACCATTCATTCAGCTACTTTTTTGTTACATGAATTTAAATTCTTTATTGAATTATGAATTACCATATTTATTGTATTACCAATTAAAGTTTCCATTGTAAAATTAATTAAAATTTTAGTGTGAATTACAGACAGTATTGCATTGCGTCAGACTGTTACTATATTTATTTTAGAATTAATTTAGAAAATCTTGATGATATGTTTTAGGAATAATATAGTATGAACTTTATTGTTACGATTGCATTATTTCTTTAATTCATGGATTTAGTTACCTGCTTAACGGTTCTTTTCTGTACTGTAAAATTAAATTCTTTTAATAACTTCTTTTAATTTGCAAATAATTGTGTTTCTGCTGTTTATCAGCTTATAGAGTCATCACACAAATTATAAAAATAGTTTGGTTTAATTAATCTCTTTTGCACTGTAAATTAGTACAGATGTTATATTTTAAAATAACATTTTCTTTGAATATACTTCTTGTGGTAATTTCTCTTAATTTTACAAATGATTGTGTTACTGCTTTTCTTTAGCTTGTATAGTCATTATACTAATTACAAAAATATTTAGCGCAAATCTAGCGCTTTTTTAAATTTTATCAATATTTCTCAGTTATATCATCGTTTTATCAAACAGAACTATGCTTAACACATATAATTCAATACATTACAACAACTGAAAATTTTATTTAAAGCTAATATTAGGCAATTACTGTAATAAAATTCTACTACAAATATTCTAGTTCTATTTTAAAGCTACAAATATTCTCTAAACATGCCCATGAGCCAGCGAGTTTAAAACCTTAACCCTTCACTTAATTTTTTTTAAATATAGTACATATTGAAAAACTTGACAGTTTGATTAAAATTGTTTTTAAAAAAATTTAATTCTAGAAATATTATGTTCAATTACAGGCATAACAGCAGAAGTTGTGATACATTAAAATATTCTTTTGTCTATATTTAAGCGCAATTCAAAAATGACCTGGTAAAATTCACATATAACTTGAAATCCAAATTTCTAATATATTAAGTTTTCGAAAAAAAAAGCATGTTGATGCGAGGATAAAGGCATTCCAACTATTAATCCTCGAAATTACATATATTGCGGGTGATCACCTTCTGACAATGTATTTTATAAATGGTATATACGCTATTGATTGACCATCTTTACAGCTTACTGATTTTCCCGAAATAAAAAGCGGTTTTTAAAACCATACGAATTAGTTAAAAAATTCAAATTTAAATTTGTAATCTTTATTTTGTAATGTGTGATTTATAAATCTTTCCTACAATTTAAATCAATGTATGCCGAAAATTATTAATATAAGAACAGTTTAAAAAATATTATAACTTATACTAGAATAGTTTTAAACAATGACAAACCAAACCGTTAAGTTGACAAATTCAATAAAAGATTCAAAATGTTTTAAGTTTACCCTTTGCACTCTTTGAAAATGTCTGAAAAAAGGAACTGAAAGAACGTCTCCTGAATTCGAAGATCTTCTTTATTATTAAGTTGTCTTTCCTCAAAATCTCAACTATTACAGTATACTTAATGCTATGCAATAAAAATAAAAATCTATAAAAATTAACTAAAACATGGTCACATTTCAGAAATTATCCCATTTCAGAGCCGTTTTTTTTTCCGAAACAAAATTTTTGCTCCTTGAATAAAAAAATTTGGAAGCCAGTTGTCTCCTTGCTTAGGAGACCTTTTTCATTATTTAGATTAAATTCCTCAAAACCTGATCGTACCTCAAATGCTATCTTATTTTATGAAATAACTAATTCAATGTCACGTTTTAGAAAGCATCCCATTTCGCTTTTTCAAAGAAGTAATAATGTGTTATTAAAGAAGTAAAAATAAATAATTAATAATAAATATGAAATAATACTATTACGTGTTTTTCATGGAAACTGAAATACTTTAAGTTAAAGATCTTATTTATTGCATTCATTAGTGTATATTTATTGTTTACTAATTTCTGTGCATGTATATACAAAACATTTCATTACCATATAAAGTATTCTTCACAAATAATAAAAGTAGTCAAATGTAATTTTACAAAAATTATTTCAAATAAGATTCACGTAAAGGCTTGTTTTTCTGTCAATGATATGTTTATGTGCACTCACGTGATGTAAAATATTTAATTGATGAATATTTTTTTAATTATCATACAATTATCAATGCAATACTAGCTAAAACTTTATAAATAGAAAATAACATCCTCAAATTTTTATAATAATTAATGATGGTTCGTTATTTAGCTACTGCTTGGAAATTTTATCAAGTTTTAGCACTACATAAATTGCTGTCATAAACGGTAAATAAAACTTTTTTTTTTAATTTCGAAGTAAAATTGTTAAACAGACATTTACAAATTATACTGAAAAATATATTAACCCGAATATTTTAGTTTAACTCCTTAATTATTTACCGCATTACATAGAATACAAATTTTTATATTTTTCTTTTTTTACTAATTTACGTTGCCACTATTACGTTGTACAGAAAAGTCATTCTATTACATGTTTCAACTGAGCATAAAAAGTTTCTTAAAAAAAAATCCTATACGTGTTTAGCATTGCATAACACCGTAATTGTCAATAATAAACATGCAAAGCTAACTTAAGATAGCAGTAAATCAACAAATTTCATCAAATATCCAAAAGTTTCTTTGCTCTTTCTTAATTGGAAACTTGGTGACATTATAAAATCTTACATAGACATACAAAAACAGAGAGGGAAAATTCATAGTGAGAGAAAATTGCAGGTACAAAAGTTTCATTACATTAAATTTATCTTACAAGTTTTGAAGAATAGTAAAGTAAATAAATATTGTTTTTAGAAACTGTATAGTATTATTAATTATAGCTGCTAAAAATTAAAATAAATCCTTTTATTTAAAGGACGAGCTTAAAAAAAACGAATTTTTTCACCGCATATAATCGTTATATTCCTTAAAAAATTTCATTTTAGAGAAGTTTTTAACGATAAAAGTAAATACGTTTGCTATTACATTTTATTTGTTGTCAGGCAAAAAGTTTTTCTTAACAAAATGAGTGAATTTAAAAAATGGTTTGTGTTTTCAAAGGTTAAAAGAAAAGAAAAAAAAAACGTTTGAGCGAATATTTTTTTAAAATTAATTATTAGGTGGTTTTTGATTCTATTGATTTATACGGTAAAATATGGAAGGAAAAATGTGAGAAATGGTTTAAAATTTAGGAGAGAATAATTAGAATGGTTTCTCTGAGGTGAGGTAATCGGCTTTATTAGAGATGTGGGTACTTGTTAAGCCAGGAAAGTAGAGAGGGTGGGGGAGTGAGTAAAGAATTTGGTATAAGCTGCTTACCCGGATATCCGACCGTGGGGTGGAGAAGGTCAACACCGGGAGAAGGCAGTCCAATGCCGTTGACAGAGTAAGGCGATGACTTGAGGTAGGCCATGCCGCTCGATGGGGCACTTTGGCCGGTTGAAAATGGAGCGCAGGAGGACCCCGATGGCTGGAAAGCGGCCACTGAAGTCGGGGGACTGCCGCACAGTTGGTGTCCCGACCGGTAGGAAAGAAAGCCGGTGAGAGCGGGGCCAAAATTGTCCCCGCTGCCCCCCCGGCTTTGAACGTCTTCGAAATTTGGCCACAGCTTTACGGCCAGGTCACCCGGCAGAGTAAGTACGGAAGAAGCGTTGCAAAGTAAGCGGCAACCACGTTTCTGCCGCGGCCGCCGCACACGTCTCCCGTCCGCCCGCCCAAAGCCCCGCCTTCAAACAGTCATGCCGCGCCTCTCTTCCAATGATAGCACTGACCAAGAGTTTCCCTTATTTCTCTCTCTTTAGAAAACTTTCCTTCAAATATTTATCATTTTCGCATGCGTTTACTACAAATAATGTCAAGAATTCTTACAAAAATCGGTTCACTATTGAACCATAATATTGCTACAACCTTAATAAGATGAATCCATTCCAATTGCATTTCTAACTTGATTATATTTGCTACAAGGTTGTAGCGAATAAGAAATAATTACGTCTCGATAGGCTCGAAAATATCGACACATAGCAATTATATAATAGTCGTTTTAATCCCTTTCACTGTGTTGAACCTTAATATGGCATCGGGTTATATTATATAATTTTACTTTTTTAACTTGATTAAGCAATGGGTTCAACTTGGTTATTGAAAGACGAGAGTTTATTTAATATTTAGAAATACCTCATTATTATAAGAAACCCATTTTAAGGACGATGTTAAGAACAAGATTAAAATCATTATTATTACTTTTAGATAAAATCTTAAGCGTTATTTATAAACAAATAAAACAATAATTAACAAAACCTAATTCATAACATTTCATCGTCCATTATTAGGAATTTTGAATCAGTGTTCAAATTTGGTGCAACATTAATAGGGTGCAAATTTGAACCATATTATCTTATTTCTTAAATTTGATGGCACGATGCTATGGTTTATGTTGGACAGGGAAAAATTCCTTTTTTTTAAACATCGTTAAGATATTTAAGCGTTTTTTTTTTTTTTTTTTTTTAAATTTTACTTTATTGTTATTAGCTTTTTGATTATGGATTTATAATAGGTAATGCATATTACTATTATAAGCTTTTTAAAATGTTTTTGAATAGATATTAATTGATCAGAAATTGATATTTAGGATAAATTTAATTTATATGCATTTAATTTTACTTATAAGCCATACAATTAAATTCCTGTTTTTTAATGAACTAGGGAGGAGAAGAAATTGAATAAACATTTTGCACCCGATTATAGATCGGGATGGAATCCACAAAATAAAAACAAAGATAACTTAAAAAAGAATATTAAATTGTTGTTGAACAAAGTGTAACTAATAAATTAACTAACAGGTATATTCACAGACTTATGATAGATTAAGTAAGAGATTAACTAGTAGGTATAGTCGCAGATTTATAATAGTTTAAATAATGGATTAAGGCAGGGGTGGCGAACCATTATACACCAACGTGCCATTTTCTCTAAAAAATTGCTTAATGAGGTCATAGACGTGCCGTCAAATAATTTTGACTTCGTGATTATTGAGAAAATAATATTACTAAATACTATCAACTTAATACTCTTTATTTACATTGAAAAGAAAATACATTTTGCAATGTCTCAACTTAAAGTAACATCAGTGTGACTTCTGTTGTTGCAGATTAGATGACCAATGACTTATATTAGGTTGTAAGATGTTAGTTTAAGCAGGACTGTTGATTTTTTATGCTAGTTATTTATTGTTAGCTTGTTTTTTACTGTTATTAATTGTTTTTTTAGCATTAATTTTTAATTTTTTTATTAATAATTGTTTATTATTTTGTTTGTTTTTTTGTGAATTTTAATTTAATTGTTACGTATGCTTCATAGCGTAATAACATTTGTGTAATAACAATTCTTAGTGCAACAACAAGTGTGATCGGTGGAGTGCCCAAAATATTGTGTACCGTGCCATAAATGGCACGCGTGCCATTGGTTCGCCATCCCTGGATTAAGGTATAGGCTTAGTCACAGATTTACAATATTTTGAGTGATAAATTAACTAATAGTTATATTCACAGATTTATAATAAATTAAGTAGTAGATTAACTGGTAGATGCATTCACATGTTTATAAATAATTAATTAGTAGATAAACTAATAGCAGAGATGCCAACTGCTCCGCTTTCTGCAAAAGATTTAATAAATTGGTAGCGAATTAAATAGTAAAACTTGTAGAATAAAGATAATTATGCCTACTCTTTATAAGAGTAACACCACGAGATAACTGCATTAAAGTTGCAGTTCATATGATACTTTTATGAGGTACTATACATTTTTTTATACTTTTATACTTCTTTTTGATATGAGGTGGTGAAAAATTACTTAAAATGAAAAATACTGAACTAAAAACAACATAAATTTCGTTACCACTAAAAAATATTTTTTTACAAAGCAAGTTAGCATCTCTGTAATAGATATATTCACAGATTTATAATAAATTAAGTAATAGATTATTTAATAGATATATTCAAATATTTATAATAGATTAAGTAATTAATTAACTAAACGGTTCATTTCCAGATATATAATAGATTAAGTTCAAGATTAATTAATTGGTATAATCACAGATTTATAATAGATTAACTAATAGGTATATTTACAGATTTATAATAAATTAAATAATGGATTTTCGAGGTCAGTAATCATGTAGTCAAGCATAAAATGTAAAATTGCAGGTCCAGGTATTGAAAAATCTGAGCAATATTATTAAATTTTGCAAAAAGTAAAGTTATTTTTATTTAAGAAGCTTATTTTTTAGTAACATTTTAAAATAAAAATGAAAAAATTTACATAAAAATTTTCATTAAGTGTATGGAGATACTACATCACGTATTATGTACACCAATCACAATATAATACGAAATTCAAAAAGTTTCAAAATTTTAAAATCTTAAAAATCGATAATTTCATTTGATAAATCAATAAAATTAAATCAAGACATTATAATTAAACGTCATAAATGTAACAGCCAAGTTAGATAATTCTAATAAAATCATTTATGTGATTTTGGTGGAAAAAATATATAGCATAAAAGTAAGAAAAATATTTGATTTTTCTACGAAAAATTTGGTTACTATTCATCGTCCATTTTTTACGAAATGTGAATGATAATAATTGAGCATAAATTGGTTATTTTTAAAAATTTTAATGAAAAAAAAAGAAAAATCGAGGAAAACATGCGAAACATAAGCATAAAAATCTATTATATTGAGCTAAAAATTAATGTACGCAACGTTAAAAAAAACCTTAAGCACAATAATTGGTTATTGAGTTTTTTAATCTGAAAAAAAAAAGAATTATAAAGAGAACATTAAGACTGCTTTTATATAGAAAATTATAATGAAAACATAAAAGAAAAATTAAAGCATAAAAGTTGGTTACTGGTTATCTTAATAACATAAATATGGAAAGTAATGAAGTAGGAAGGAAATGTAAAAAAATAAAAAATAAATGAAAGTCGCTTGTTTTTATCTAAAAAATTATAAGGGAAACGTATAAGAAAACCTAAGCACAAAATTTTATAATCAATTATCTTAATGTTTTAAATATGAAAATTAATGATGAGGGATACATATAATAATGAAGGTATTATTTTAGAATCAGATATTTTTTTTATGTAAAAAAGTATGAGAGATACTTAACATGTAACTTAACGTGTAAATTTGTTAGAGTAACTTAAACATGTAAATTTGTTATTTTTCATTTTTAAAAAATGAAAAATAATAATGAGGAATGCTTGAAAAAAATATTTTTACGTACTAGAAATCATAAGGGAAAAGTAAATGAAAAAAATTAAGCACTAAATTTGGTAACTGGTTTTTATCAAATTTTTAATATGAAAAAATATTAAAAGACAAGATAAGACAAAAATTCGGTAATTTTATATTGAAAACTAGAAGGGAAAATGTAAAAGGAAAAAAATTAAGTATTAAATGCGATTATTGATTATTTTAATATTTTTAATCTGAAGGATAGTAATGAAGGGAACGAAAAAAATAAACATGAATGTCGGTTATTCTAACATAAAAAGCTGCAACATAAAAAAATATTTAACTTAATTCAAAATAACGATGGACGGAGGACATATAAAAAACCTTCCACTTACTTTTCGTAAATATTGGTTTAATTTTATTTTCAATTTTACCAATTTATTCCATTTTTCTTCTAATCATAAAACGAAAATTTTTGTCATGGTTATTTGAAAAGTAATAAAGAAAACCAGTGCTATATTATTCTTTTAATTTGTTACAAGGCGAATTGTTTTAAAATGTCATTAAACCAATAAATATAACCAATGAATTCGTTTTTAAGTCATTTCGTCTTAATTTACTAAGCTCCGCCAAAAGTACTTTTAAGTCATATGTAAGAAATTATCAATTTTTTTAAATTTTATTGCAATTTATTTTTCTCATCATTGCATATTATCATTTTTCATAATCAGACTTATTTTATAAGCTATTTAATTTCCGTCACCAAAATAAAACAAGTCATTATTAGGGAAAGGTATAAAAAAAAGACCTTCGTAAACCGCTTACAAACATCGGAATCGGTACTACTTAGGTGCGTTAATTCTCTAAGAGAAAAGGATTTTTTAAGAAAAAACATTTATAAAGTTCCTTCGTGAACTTCTATTAAGTGAAATTAAAAGAAAGATACTCAATTTCAAATATGAAGTGAAGTTCTTTCAACAATTTGCTTAAACGATGTTCCGGAATAAAAAGATAGGATATTTTTGATGAAAAACATTTTCTTATTTTAAAGATTCTTAAAAGATGAAATATTTAGTAAAACACTTTATTGATTAAAGAAATTTGTAATTTTATTTTTCTTGCTTGTGTTTTAATTACAGTTTTTGTAGTATTATATTTTTTTTTACAATTTCTTGATCTAATTTCTTAAATTTGTTGATACTTTTGTTGATACTTTGTTTGTTTACAACTTTTGATGTAATTCTAAAAAATAAAACAAATTGTAAGCGGACATTGAAATCAGTAGTACTAAAGTGTATTAGATCTCTGAAATTCTAGAATGGAAAACATTTATGAAACTTCTTCTCGAATTTCTATGAAAAGAAAGATACTCGTCATTAAAATAAAATATATTAATAATAGAAGGAAATAAAAAAATAATAAAATTCCCCAGAAAAAAACTATAAGAGTATTGTGTGAATAAATTTTAAAGCTAATATTTATTAGTAGTCTTTAATT